TATGAGAACAGAATAGAATAGAAAGGAATTGAATGGAACAGAACAGACCGGCTCAAGCCTACGCGACTGGACCGAAAGGAATATGGGTAAAAATCAATGAAGCGGTTAAATGTTCGTTCTGAATTAATTGTTCCCGCTAGTAATAAGATAATAATGGCGATAAACAACCCATCAAATGCATGTTTTTGGGTTTAGGGAAAGAAACACAAAGTAGTTATGGTTCAGTTCACAATTCCGAAAATATGGTGTTGCGAAATCGAGGAAACCGAGGAAACCAAGGAAACCAAGGAAAACAAAAATACATAATATACTAATTGTTGATCACCTTCATGGAAAGGTAAGAATAGGGAAAAGTCTCGTATTAAAGACTTCCTCTGGTCATCGTCGGGCTTCCTGTGTGATTCAAGATGGCGTCGCAAAACTTCGTTTCTTTACGAGACTTTTGCTAATTCTTACCTTTCCATGAAGGTGATCAACAGCTAGAAAAGAAATTTCCATGCAATTCCTTAATGCAAGCCTACGGGGCTATATTTGAACTATATTTATATTTAAGTTACTGTCATATCCTGTCTATGGATGACGTCATGATTCTACATACGGGACATGTCAGAGAGGATTGAGTGTAATGGCGGACCGCCATGTGTTCCTTGTTGGGTTAAATAAAAGCAGTATTTAATCCTTATTTTCCACACTAAGTTACAACAGTTACGGCCTTGCCTAAACTGTTTACATGTAAATACTCGGCAAAGAACAAGCTTACTGCATGGGATGTAGAAGTCTGTGTAATCAATGTCTTGACAGTTAACCACCAGGTACAGTTTCATATTCATATTATATTTGTATTAATTAGTATATTATGTATATTAATTAGTATATTATGTATATTAATTAGTATATTATGTATATTAATTAGTATATTATGTTTCCTTGTTTTCCTTGGTTTCCTCGGTTTCCTTGATTTCGCACTGCCGCCGAAAATATGAAGGCATTAAAAAAACGTCTCCTTCAACACTTCCCACTCGCCTACGAAGGTTCGTGCTGCCAACCAGGCATAACTAGTCAGATAAAATTATGGAGTCAACTCGGCTTCAATGATTGCTACCCAGATTTCCGTTCCCTCCAGTCGCGTAGGCTTGAGTTGGTCGACGACAACATTTTTTGAATTGACTGCAAACAAGTGCTTCTCTGATGTACATCTCTTTTCTCAAGACGTTCAAAAGCCATGGAGTGAACTACTTCCGATGTTGAAACACTGTGCAGACCAAGACAAAGCCATTCTTGATACACTGGATTCATGTAAGTTACATTGTAAGATTTCATCCAGTTTTCCATGGTATTACATCTCATTTACCACGATTTTTGTACCCTGGTCCCAGAGGCTCGACGATTTTTCTCCCGGCCACGTATATATTGAGCGGCTCAATATATACGGTGGCCAGGAGAAAAATCGTCGAGCCTCTGAGACCAGGGTACAATTTTTGTCATATAGCCGTCAAAATGTTATGGACTTATACGAGGCCTAAGCAAGGGACTCCACAACATATTTTGACACCTAGATGATGAAAATAGTGGTAAATAAGAGGACATAAGATAGAAAAGTGGAGGAAAACGATTTTTTAGTGAGACATATTTATTTCAATTCCTTATGAAAAAAATATTTTAAAATTTAAACAGTTAACAGCAAATTAGGACGACTGCAACAAGGACAAGTCAGTATTGCAGGAAGTCAGGCCGAACTGCTACAAGGACAGAAGAATAGTGCAGAAGGTCAAGCCAAACTGCTACGAGGACAAGACACAATACTCAAAGATTTATCATCAATAAAGCAAGACCAAAGAAAAGGTATTGAAAGTCATGCAAAAGGTTAGTTGACTTTAACACAATATTGTTTGTTGGTCCTCTTTTGAGCGTTAGAGCGTGGTAGGACATGTATATGACATGAAGTGGTTGGTATGGTGACAGTAATTGTCCAATCAGGTTATGGTGTGTAAGATGTCAGTTAGAGTGGTAGGACATGTATATGACATGAAGTGGTTGGTATGGTGACAGTAATGGTCCAGTCAGGTTATGGTGTGTAAGATGTCAGTTAGAGTGGTAGGACATGTATATGACATGAAGTGGTTGGTATGGTGACTGTAGTGGTCCAGTCAGGTTATGGTGTGTAAGATGTCAGTTAGAGTGGAAGGACATGTATATGACATGAAGTGGTTTGTATGGTGACTGTAATGGTCCAGTCAGGTTATGGTGTGTAAGATGTCAGTTAGAGTGGTGGGACATGTATATAACATGAAGTGGTTGGTATGGTGACTGTAATGGTCCAGTCAAGTTATGGTGTGTAAGATGTCAGTTAGAGTGGTGGGACATGTATATGACATGAAGTGGTTGGTATGGTGACTGTTATGGTCCAGTCAGGTTATGGTGTGTAAGATGTCAGTTAGAGTGGTAGGACATGTATATGACATGAAGTGGATGGTATGGTGACTGTAATGGTCTAGTCAGGTTATGGTGTGTAAGATGTCAGTTAGAGTGGTAGAACATGTATAATATATATATTTAGGCACTGCCTAAAAGCGGAGCTCCCGATACGGAAGTCAAAGGGAGAACAATTTGAATGAAACTGAAAGTTAAAAATAAGATAGGGGGGAAAATCTTCAATTTTTTTTATTCGAGCTGAAGATCATTTCTCCCATAATAAAAACCATGCAGTGAAATCGAATCGAAATGCACAACATTGCTTTTTTTCCCGCGAGTATATACTCTCCCACTTAGGAATTTTGTACACAATTCACCACCACCCCAGGGGCTAGTTTTGCTCTTGTAAGATTTTTCGACAAATTTGTCCAAAAAACCCGACATTTTTAGGCTTTGAATCTCTTTTATTTAAAAAAAAAAACGAAAGATAACTACAGATAATCCAATACAATATCAAGTTTAGTAAAATTTACCTCGGATGTCTTTCATTGACGTTGAAATCAAGACCAAAAAACAGACTTGAAAACTGGTTAAGGTTGAGCAAAGTATATATAAGCTTACTTTAATAATTACGTCTTTTACAGAACGAGACGTTTTACATTCAGTTAAACTTGACAAGAACAACTGAGACAAAATAGAAAATAAAGGCAATGCAAAAAGGCAATGCAAAATGACGAATTTCTTGGTCAGTAAATTGGCGTTTGTAAATGTTTTTGAATATTTTTTACGGCTTTGTAAAGTGAAAGTCTAGGTCTTTCTACAACAACATCTCTCAACAACACAAATTTAAGCTC